GTATTCCCTCCTACTAGTCCTAGGCTAACTTGCTAAGCTCCTACAGAGGCTACGGTCTGAGTACAGTAGCTGGACATAATCTTAGCCGTGTTTTGAACCCTCCATGACTGTGTTCAAGAACTGAGTGGTAAAGGTGTACCTATAATGCTTAATGTCATTGCGTATACGGTATACAGGACACAGGTCTGTGTCGAAACCTGTTGCGAATCATAATTATTATAATGGGTTTACCAACAGCCTAACAGGCGAACAAACCATTGTCGTATGGACGAGCTTTAGGCCAGTTCTGCACTCTGCTTGAGCCTTGTCCACAAGCAGAGTCTGCAGAGCTAACTGTTGACTGTCTAAAATTTGTGCCATTCGTGCACCGAATGAAACAAAGGAAGCTCAGATGATAGCTACCTACGTCATCTTGTATAACAACACATTGAACACAATTGTTGCATTCAGGCTTTCAGCTTCTTAGTTGTAATGGAAGTGAGTGAAAAAAACTTGCATAGGCCCTATCTAGTACGCCCTATATGATATACCTAACGTATCTTAAAGAAACTTGTCAGTGTCTGCTCTAAAAGTTAATTTTTACAGCAAGCTTTTGCAAATATCATGCCTTTCTATTATATAAAATTGCACTCTTTTTTGCCAGCATAATAGTGAATGCCACGCTGTAGCTGTTTACTTCAAACCTGTAGAAACACAGGGTTAATGTGTATATTTATTATTTAAGTAATTTGACATTTTGACTGACAGAAATGATTGTAAAAGATTGCTGCAAAAGAAAACAAGGTACTGAACTGGTATTCTGGTAAGGTTGTAAATTATATTTTAAAGGCACTGAATGGAAGCAGTGTAGATTGACCATGACTTGGGACTGTCTTTGGGCTAGTCATAGCCATAATCTGGGACTGGAAGTCATTCACTTAAGGCTGAGTTAAGGTAGCAAATAACTTCTTTGGGTTGTCAATTTGCTATAGCGTTCCTTATTGTTTTTTTCATACCTAGGTAAGGCTAGGTTGGCAAGCACTACTTTCAATAATAAGTTAAGCAATTAACTTGAATATAATAACCAAATATAGTATCAAGTGGAATAATAGATGGAAATAGGCTTGAATCTACTCAAATGCCTGAAGGACCCACTCCGACAGAGGTAGAAAATGACTACATGCTCCAGTCCTCAATCATATTCTTATACATATAGTAATTTTAGTTTATAACTAAAGATGAATTATTTGCAGAGAAATGGTAGTAAATTTTTGATAGATAATAGGTCATAATCAGTTGCTACCCAAGTCAAAACAAGGCATTAGGTACTTCATAAGTTAATAGCAGCTTTGCATTGTTCAAATGGGTCATATCTTCCCATATATATAATGTAACTCAATGTTGGATGACCTAAAACTAAATTATTTTATCATTTTTAAATTTTAGTGTATAGCATAACACCAAATTATTTTGAAAACATATTGAATGGTAGAAGATGTTGAGCGTATACAGAGATAGCAAAATAATCTGTTGATACTGAGAGTTGAGAGGAACAATAATTTTTAACGAATTAAAATTAAGAGACTAAATTCAAGCAATGAACTCCTTCACCTTCATTATGAGAAAAATTCTAGCAAAGATTGAAGAGAATAGTTACCAAAGAAGAGAGAATAGTTATAGTTGAAGAGAATAGTTAATAGGTATAGTATTTATTATATATATATAGTTTTATATAGTTTATAAAGTATATATAACTATATACTTATATATAGTTTTATATATATAATATATATATTATAGGTACTTATATCATTAGTCTGCTTATATCGCAAGTTCACAAGGAATTTAAAAGCAAAGAAAACGCCAAGAAAATTCACCATATTGATATTGAAAACGTTCGGAGTCCAGCTCCATCATCAGTTCGACTATACTAAAAATGAATAAAATCACTTTAAAAGTCGAAATTCAAAGACAGACATAAAACCTAAATCCAATATATACCTAACCTATCCAATATATACCTAATAAAACCTAAATCCAATTCCAATATCGATATGGTGAATTTTCTTGGCGTTTTCTTTGCTTTTAAATTCCTTATATATTATACTATAGTTTATAGTTTAATTGTAATTGTTTTGTTTCTAGTTATAAATTCACATATTTAATGATTGAAATGAAGTATTTTAATTAGAATACTCATATCAGAGTGGAAAATCTTTCTAAATGCCATAAGATCAATGCAATCTCAACCATCCCGTCTTATATAAGCTAGAGTAACACATTTAAATTGTATAATGTAATTAACATATAACAAATAGTCAAATAGTTTGTCAAAGACTACTTATAGCCTTATAGGAATTAGCTAACCTGCTTGCTATGTACAATGTATTGCAACACTTGATACCTCTGTACAAAAAACATACAATTCATTGGAACCTAATACACAAAGGTAGCAGGTTTATATTCCAATTTGTCATAGTACATTTATACTAAACCATGAGTAGTACCTCAAAATAAATTAGACTGCCACTCAATATATTTAACACTTTGACTGCGATTTGCAAAATAACCTGTATTCCAGTTATGTGACTCATTCAAACTTGAATAACTTTAGTTACAGACAAGGCAGCAAGATAAGGGCTAGTGCGCTGCTCTTGTCTGAGCGAGTTCTACAAACTTCTGACATAAAAACTGTGAGCCTCTATTGGTGCATGTAGCCTGGGATGGAAACTTTCATCTCTCTAGGCAACGTGCGCCATATGAGGTACACGGCATTTATTATTCAACTACAATAAAAAATTTGCATCACCCGGGTACTAACGCTTGAAAAAAAATATTTTCTGAGCAAATGAAATTGGATTGTCACTGCAATAATCAAACTACAAATCATTCTGGGGTAAAATGCTGCTAAATGGGAAATTTATAATTCATTTAGACGATGTCTTACAAAACTGCTCTAAGCAAAGCATGAAGTGGTACTGACAACTGTTCAAGTTATTGGCAAAAACTGTAGCAAATGTCTGGGTGCTTGGTGATCAGTTCTATAGTCAGTAATAATCTATGTGAATTGCTGAAGTCGTTGAAGATTACTGAATGCGACAGGCCACATCAGGCCTACATTTCAGCGCCGACATCATTATGTCATCATTATGAATGTATTTTCACTAGTAATAGGTCAGACACATGAAGAAATGTTTCTATAACCAAATCACAATGATTTATATTTTGGCATTCCAGTTCTAAAGTATTTGAAGCTGAGGAGTTCTGTGTGAGCTTAGGTAACTTTCCAATGACTAATACCTATTTTTCTACTACTATAATCCATGCTGATACCGAAAAAATGATTTTCAACACATTGGAACAGGATAACCCCCTTTATTTAATACTTTTATTTTTTTTTTGTACCCACTCATTATTTCAGGCTAGATTTGTAACTACTAAGATTCTTATGATTTGATTGCACGACGTTCATATAGGTTTTTGAAAACATTGTCAATTATCTATCATATTTTTCACAAATTTATAATCTTGCTGATATTTTAAAGAGCTTTTTTTTAAAAACTAAATTTTTTAAGCGTGCACCATATATGGCGCATGTTGCAGTTTGGGACATGCACGTGTGTACCATATATGGCGCATGTCGCAGTCAAAGTGTTAAATATATAAAAAGAATCAGAAAAATTGAAAAAATCATGATTTTTTATAGAAAAAATTAAACGATTAAATCACATATTTTACTCATTCAATCACTGCCAACCCTGATGAGCTATGCACTGAAGTCTCAGCATCTGACCTTTCCTCATGAAAGAAGATAGGCTTGGAAATTGTGCAAATAACTGTCAAGGCTTGCATGGGAAACCGACAAAAATTAAGCTTTATATAGGGAAAAGCCTGATGTTATATGTTTCTGTAAGACTTGGTAAGAGTGCACATTGGTTGTTTTTTTCTCGGTTATAAGAGTGCGCATTGGTTGGCCCTCTTATGTTGGTTATTATGCAGTGTGGTCACACTGAGAAAATGCCTTAAGGGGTGGCATGGCAATTTTAGTTCGGAGAGATCTTCAACAGCAACAGTTTGATATTCCGGTATTTCCAGGAGGTTCCAATCTTGAATTTCAGTCTTTAAAGATCAACACAGCACTAGGATGGATTGCTATTGGTAACCTTTATAAGACAGGTAATAATATAGCTTATGAAGTCAATTTGTATCTATCCCAAATTGGTGATAAACAAGGCTGTTGGAGATTTCAATGCTCATTCTCCTCTGTGGTATGCTAGAAGCAGGTCTAATGTTACTGGAAGAAAAGGAAAAAAGGAAAAGAATCGGCGACAGGCCACATCAGGGCTACACTTCAGTGCCGAGATCAATATGTTATGTATGTTATGTTATAGAAGCAGCTATATAGGTCTCTCTCACATGTCTCTTAAATTATGGTATCTTTCCCCACATACGTACATAAGACAATCAATGCAGTACTCCATCTTGTTTGGATCTGGCCATTCTGACTTCAAATCTGTCTACCCAAGCCATCTTGACATAAGGACCAGATCAGGGAATCATTTAGTCATTTGCTGCAAAATTGGCATTAAAATAGTTAAGTCTCCAGAAAAAACACCTGTTGGGTGGAAACTTTGCCAAGCTAACTAGCCAGGTTATTTGCAACTCCTTGATGAGAAACTGGTTCTGTCTGGGTATGATCTTGCAGATGCTAAGAATGCCCATAATTATTTCTTAAATTCCATGTTGAACGATGCCTTTTTTCAGTGCCCTGATGCTCTGAACAAATACACTGTTGCTCCTCTACTCTTTAGTGGGATGTAGAATGCTCTAGGGCTTTAGCTCTAATATGCAAAGCAACAGGCAAGTTGTGGCACTTGCCTACTCCAGTAATAGGTCAGTTTGACTCACAAATGGGGCAAGTGAGTAAAAAACGTGCATGGCTGTTTGGATGCAGTTGACTCATCTTAGTGGGTCATCCAGACCCACCCATTTCTCTCTGTGAATCCTTGTTTTTCTTTTCAGTCAGATTACAAACTTGTCTGCAAACTGTGCAATGAATAGACAATAAATAGTTGATCCAGTAAAAGGCTTCATTTATTAGTTGCAAAACATATTTGTCATCCTCTGCCCTAAAGTTTATATTAATTGTTTATGATAATATCAATATGGCAGACCCACAAAAGTTCACTACTGCTGCTGCTCTGGGTCTGGAATTGGAGCTGGAATCTGATCTACAATCTCTTTCAACTAAAGTTGGGGTTCTCATGAGCACCAATGTTGAAATTGCTCAGGTAGGTTATATATCTATGTTACTATTTTTGTGTTGTGTGTTCTATGCAGCATGTTGGTTAAATTACTTGTTACTATAACAACCTATATCTTACATAGATTTTATTCCTGCTTGGAATAGGGATGTGTTTTTTGGCAGAAGGATTTGAAACAGCTGGTAACATAATTTATCTAGTAAATTGTTGAATTGTGTTTAACTATTTATTAATAAGGTTTACTATGCTGCTAATCTTATAACTGAATGTTGATAAAATAAGTATCAACTTGTCTATTTTATTCCATGCTGTGACATTTAGGCATAAACCAGTGCTTGCTTCCATACTACCAATTTTAGAACATGAAATGACATCGCTACTTCCAGGGCATTCTGGGTGTGTTGTCTGCAAGAGAAGTGACCCGCCTCCAACAAGTGTGCCGCTTATGGCGTTCTGTTGGCATCAACGAACTTCGGCGGCGAAAAAACTTGCATTTCATATCCATACCTTCTCCACCTTGCAAGGTGATTAATTTGTAAATTTTCCTGCAGATAAACTTTTCCTGAAACATTGCATGAAATCATATTTAACATAAAACCATAATTAATCGAGTTCAATTGTATGAACTCAATTCATTTTGTATTTTGAAATTAACACTGAATTACTACAAGATATTTTCCATGTAGTGCCCGACTCTGAAAACAACTTAGTCAATTTGAGTTACAAAAAACCCACCCATTAAAAATTGTTACACATATTACTAGGTACCATAACTTGCTTATTTTATATAGATATGCTACTAGGTACCTTAACTTGCTCTACAGTCATTCTGAACCTATTACAATGACATTAAATGAAAAAGTCACCACCACATATCTCTGTGTCAAAATCTATTTGGAGAGTTTACTGATTTTGTCTAAATTCTCGGGTGCTGTTCTTGCAATTTTTTCATCATTGCTTGAGAAATAAACTAAACAATTTTTTTGTAGCAAATTTGTATTTGCCCTAGCTGAACTTTATGTTTAAAATTAATTTAAACTTTGGTATGGTATTAATTTAACATGTTAATGAATGAAAAACAACTCATTGTTGTGATCGCTGGCAAGTGAATTTCATCCCTGTCAGGGCGCTTGCTAGAGATGACTTAATTCAACATATGTTATTTTTAAGTTTGCATAATTTGTGCTACATAGTTGCAAACAACTGGTAATACAAACCTGCAAATTTTTGAGCATTGATAATAGTAGAAGCCTCAAGATTTGATACAAATTTCAAGATGCTAAGTCTATTTCTAAAAGAGTTATGAGGAAAACTGAAAATTATTTTTTTAGAATCTCACACTGTATCCATTAATTGATACAAACTACTTGAGCTTTGGAATTCACCAAACTTGTGAGTTATACCGTACATTCATGAAATTCTAGTTATGGGAAAAGAAATGTTTGTATTGAAGCGTACAGTATTTTTCATCAATATGCTTCCTTGATCTATCTCTCTTTGTCCAACCTGTCAAAGGAAGTATTTATGTATTATATACATTACTTGCAGCCTGGGACAGATTGCATCAAAATGGAGAATCGGCTTAGGTCAAGGGCGATCATGAGTCAATGGCGATCAGTACCCAGCTTCTGTCTGGTGCTGAATTGCGTGTGCAAACTTGATGCTGGTAAATACAAATTTTTATTAATGTTTTTGTCATGATACTGATGCTTTGTGGGAACTTGAATTATTAGGGATCATTTATGCTACAGAAAGATTCTGTTGCTTTGACAAATGACAAGATGAGTATTTGCCAAGACATTCCATATTGCAGGTATTTTGTGAATGTATTTTATGTGTACTTTGATTGGCTGAGTGGAGTTTTAGTATATATTTTTTATTTTTTTAGCAAGGAAAGGCTGAAAATCTGTTAATGGTAACTTTTTGCAATTGTCTTTGCCAAAATTAATTGACTTCTCATGCAATTTTTTATACAATTGATTTTGATACATTCCAAGTTTGTGATGCCTTATAAATTTTATTTATATATTTTGTTAAAATGAACATATTTGATTGAAAATTGCTTGATAGGTTTTATTGTGATGACTTCATATTAACCATAAACTTTCCTACAGAAAAAATGCTGGCACATTGTAAACTTCTGCCGCCAATATGCCCTATTATAGAACTGCCATGTCTACGGGGCATCATTTCTACAGATGTAGTGGACCAAAGTGTAGAACAAAACCTGTCACTTTGTGGATCTCTCGAGTGCCCAAACTTAATACTTCCATCAGACACTGAGCTACTCCATGAAACGGCTAACACTGATGCTTGTAATATTAATAGCAGTCTAGTTGCCAACCGTGAAGCTGAAACTCCGCATGAAATGAAGCGTCCTCTTGCAAAAGTTCGAAGATTTGCAGCAAGAATTAATCAATGCTTGAACCAAGCATCTGCTGCCTTGACAGACTCCTTTGCGCCACTGTCTTCAAAATGGTTCGATTTGGATACAAGTTTGTTGCCATCCTTACAGCAAGCTCAGCACAAGAAGGCAGGATCAAGTTGTACTCTCTGCAGAAACATGAAAACTCTGAAAGCCCAATTAGCCATAATTGGTTTCCAAAACGCGCCTGGTGTCACTTTTCGTCCTGTGAAAATCCCCAAAAGGGTAAGTGACATTGACACTGTCAAGTCAGTTAAGATCTTTTGCCAGTTTAATCATCATGCCAGAAAGCCCTGCAGAGACTACTTGATTATTTTGAATAACAATTATTTTTATTTGTTTCATTTTCAAGAACTTGTATCATCATGGTCTGGTTTACTCAGTATTAATGGGAAATGCTTGAACATAAAATCAGTTGACATGGATATTTATATGGTAGTTCAAGAATATTGCATGTTTTTCCTTGATACAGGACTTTCACTTAACGCGGCCCGGACGCCTGCTATTTGAAGATCTCAGAGCCTTGCTGTTCTTCAACACAACCTCTTCTTTGCCTGAAGGGCATTTCGTGTGGGAGCTAATCCGGTGAGCATGACTCAGTGCTCCTCACTTCTAGCAAATTGAATATCCAATCAATGCGCACGACTCGTGCACTGTGCCCACAGCTATTAATGGACTCCACATTGCTCAATGTTTCATGCACTCTACGCACAGTTATTTCACTGAGCAGAAATAACGGCAACGTGGCTGTAGTGGGAGGCGATGATGTATATCCTTACTCAAGATCGGGGCTGACGAGAGGCAGTACTGACAGTAAGTTATTAATCCAAATTTTGCTTTTTATGGATTTTATTTTCATGGACTGCTGTTTTTTAACTGAATGTCTGTGTTAAAAATTGAAAGGATGTCAATAATCGTGTATTTAAAGGCTGCAAGGTTGCACTGCGTACCTGCAGATGCGTGTGTGTCGTAGCTAGATAGTCTGTCCTCGTGCTTGCGAGAGCCATGCAGAAGTTCAATAAACTTTATAGGAAGTACAAATCAAAACGAACTAGAACGACACTGGTGGCGTGCTCCTGGTTGAATTAGGTGCTACCTGCCCTCTAATTTAAATCTAAAAACATAGAAATTATGGTTCTGAAGATTCAGCTGAAATATCTGTCTTTTACCCCTTATAAGCGAAGTTGCTTGATTCTGTCGGCCACGATTCTTTAAAACTATGCTTTGATAGTACGATCTAAAGAAAGAATAGTACGATCTTTCTGAATTTAAATTACAACCGTAATTCGTACTTCCAACTTAAACCTCTGTTTCTAATTTACGTGTCGATCTAATGTAATAAATGTGCCAGTTTTTATTGTGCGACGGAATATTTAGAAATTAAAAATCGTATTGTTTTATTATTATAAAATTCAGCTCAAAGCCTACTATTCAGCTCAAAGCCTACTAGGGTTGGCGCTCAAATTTGTCGTATCATTATTTGATACGTATTTGCATAAATTGTCGTATCTTTACAGGACACGATAATGTATAGTGTTATTTTATCATAACATATTAACGTGTCCTAGCATAATGTATCATGGTAGCGTATCATATTATATCAGGATGTCGTACAGTATTGCATGATATTTTTCTACGGCAGTTTTGTATCTACTTTATCCTTCTAAGATACTCCTTTTGGCCCAGTGGTTATGGGCAGGGTGGCCCAGTGGTTATGGGCAGGGTGGCCCAGTGGTTAAAGTTCAGAGTACCACGATTGAAGTAGAGAGGCGCGGGTTCGATCCCAGCTCTGTGTGCCAGTTTCTGGTCAGAATCGGCAAAGAGGCCGGGCAGTTAAGCAAAGCAAAATTGAAGCGGCGAGTTGCGCGTTCGAGACCGCAGCAAGCTGTGGATATTAGGCGATGTTAAGAATCGGCGACAGGCCTACGGCCTAATAAACGGTGAAACCGCTATTCTGTTCTATTCTAATCTCTCGTTCTCTTGATATCTTATGACTATTTCGCCAGAAAAATTCGCCACTCTATATATAGAGTGGCGAAAATATATCTCTATAAATATAGAGATATATTTTAATCTACCCAGATGCAGGGGTACATATTTCTTCTTTTTTTTATTTCGTGTGCACAATTGTCATCTTTAATTAATTATATTTGCTCATTCAGAAAGCATCGGCATGGCGGTATGTGGTGATAACGTGACCGCCGCAAGCGTGATCATCACCACGGACGAAAAGAAGTTAGAGAACACGACTCGTGATGCCATGTCTAAGGTAACGAATATTGTTCATGCATTAGACGATCTGTCCTTCCAATCATCTGAATAGAATAGAAGTGTCGGCACTGAAGAAATAGGCCCATGGCCTGTTTCTGACGTTAAACTACCATAAAAAATACGTTAAAATACCATCTGACGTTAAAATACCCTTGAATATATTTTTAAACGGATTGAACTAGTAACTAACATGGTTTTAACTTCAATTGTCTGGAATGGAGTAGCCGTACAGACTCGCGTCTCTTGTCCGGCCTGCTAGGGTGGAGGCTCACTAATCGTCCCTTGATATTTGCAAGCAGGGATTATATAATCACCGTGGCATCATGGCAGCGTGAATGTTCAAATTTAAAAACTAACATTTGTATAGAAATCCGTCATGTCACGTATTTCACTTTAGATATTCGTCTCAAGTCCACTAACTTAATAATCTGTTCCACCCGCCAACCTATGATTTCTATTTCAACTCTATCTAAAACGTTAATACTCTTCTAGTACTCAACAATAATTAATTTGCGACACTCAAATAATTATTTATCAACACAATATAAGTTACTTGAAAACTTCTGCCTTTGAGATGATTCTGATGCACTCAACAATTATCGGATGAAAAGTTCCAATCGTTTTGTATGATGTAGACCCAACGCAGGTGTTGCTTTGCGTAGAACAAATTCTTAACAGGTTAGGCTCATCATCAGGATTCCTTACTCCAACTGACATTGTCAATGTCAGATTACATGGAAATTAAAAGCTTATGCGCACTAAGGGGGTTATTATATCCATGTCGAAAAATATTTATGAAGAGATAATCCAGTTTAGCTTATGTCATTTCTTATCGAAACCAGGCATGTGAACACGGAATTTAGATTTGAAGGGACAAGTGAGGTCAGTCGCTCGGTGTCGATGTGCTGGATGACTGTCAGGAAAATGTGATATTTTGCTGTTGTCTGTTCTTTATTAGAGTGTCTTTTGCAGTTTCTGATGTTCTATGATCCATGCAAAGCCAGCATCGCCTTCGTCTTCACACCCGCTGGACGAAATCTAGATGAAAAACGCTATGAGGATGAGGTCAGGAAATGTGTTCTTGATGTTGTTAATATTCATACGAGTACCGTCAAACGGGGTAATAGGGGACGGTTTTGAGCGTTTTTCATTAATAACTTCTTACCATGAAACATTTCATGACTTAACTATTCAATATTCAGCGAACGCTTCTCTTGAGTTTTATGGTTCATTCATGTTGTGGTTCCGATTCGTCGTTTTGTGGTTCATGCGTGTTTTAATTGTGAGCTTGTTTGGGTGTGCAGACGCAACACCCTTTCGATGTTGCGTTTGCGGCAAAATACTTTTACTCGTGCACTCTATATCTCATTGAGTATCACAGCTGCAGGTCCAATTTGTTATTGATTGATCTCCGTAAGACGACCAAACTGGCTATTGCAAGCATAATTTACTGTTGATCGCTCTCCGTAGCATGACCAATATGCCTGATGCAGGAATAGCTTTCTACTGATTGCTCATCTGTAGGATGACCAAAATGGGCTTGGTTTTCAGATAAAGATGTTCAAGACGATATACCCCACAACGCCTGTGTTCGGAGCCATAACAAGCGACTCGATTTGGTGCTTCGAGTTTCTGCCTCATCCTCCTGGTGAGAATTTATCTTCCCCTGTCTCATTCATGCTTGAATTTTCAGCTTCACTTGTAGCAAATTCCTGACTTTTCTCTTTAAATTCTCGGAAACTGAGTTTCCATGTATGTTTTAAGAAAAGGAAGCGAGAAGGTGGAGCAGGTGATATTTTATAAAGTTTTATGTACGGCATCCAAATCCTACATATTTGGAAGCATAGCTTAGCATCTTCGGCGTTGGAGAAATAGGCCTGTTTAGGTCTGTAGCCGATTTCTGTACCTATCGTGACTTGTTCACAGAGCTAAAAAGTGGCCTTTTGACAAGATTTTTCAACTGACGTTAGTTTACATCATCACTGGATTTTTACTAGTTCGGTAGGGTGCTAGGCATTTCAAGGCTGAACATATAATTTTGCATAGCTTTGTCTAGTTTATTCTTGAACACGTTCATACTCGGAGCGTCAATAATCTCATCAGGGAGGCTGTTCCACATGACCATGACTCTAAGCAAGAAGGAATGTCGCGTGAATGAATTGCACCTCAGTTGTTTCAGCGTATAACCGTGGCCCCTGGTGTTGGTTCTTGTTTCAAATTCCACTAATTCTTTGGGACCTTGTACAAACCGTGGGTATACTTGTATACTTCAATGACGTCACTACACAGACGTCGATAACAGAGGCTTGGAAGCTTTATAATCTTTAATCTTTCTTCATAAGACTTGCTCTTTAAGCCTGGAATTATCTTGTTGCACGGCTTTGAACACAATACTAAATTTTGTCAATTTCAAGCATCGGTGACCAAACGTTTCCAAGTTCTAGGTGCGGGCGCACGAAAGCGACAAATATAGGGTTCATAGCTTCTGCATCTAGAAACTCGTTAGAGCGTCTGATCAGTATTTATTTATAATTTGCGTTTCAATATGGTTAGAAGTTTCAATGTGAATTTCGGCCCCTTTTCGACATGAATTCCCAAATCTTTTACACGGTAGACTTTTCAATCATTCCTCTCTCCTTGCAACCATTTTTTTCATACTGTGATCTTGTCGTTCATTGTTCCTGCCGAGGTGAAGTACTCAACACTTGTCAACATTAAAAAGCAGCTGCCACGTATCGGCTCAGACTACTAACCTTTACTTTACTCGCGGAGCACTGTCATAGGCCTTGACCAAATCGGGGTACACTGCATCCACGGGCTTCCTGTCGTCCAGCAAGCGAGTCCAATTATTTAAGGTAGACAGGAGATTAGTGGTGTAGAATCTGCAAGCAATAAAGACATGTTTACAATCTGATAGGAGATGGTTAATAGTCGAGTGATCAATAATGCAATCACTCAACGGATTCCATTATCGTACTAACAACGCTTGTAAGACTAACTGGGCGATAGTTACCGGGGCTACTCATGTTACCTTCTTTGAACAATTGTTTCACTCGAGCTTCTTTCCAATCGGCTGGCGAAGTCTCTTCGTTCATTTTTCTCTGAAAAAATATTATTAAAGGGCCGGCCAGGACGGTTGCTAATTCTGTGAGTAATCTGGAGTGGAAGCCGTCAGCTCCATATGACTTGTTGGGATTCATAGCGACCAGGCGCTTAGTAACGTCTTCTTCGTGTTCTTCAAAACCTGTTAACTTAGAGCCGACTGGGCGCTCCTCAATAGCTGGAAGGCCGCATCTGTGAACATGCCTCTGAAGAACCGATTAAAAACGTTAGTCTTGCCCTCATCAGAGGATATCTTTCGCTGATCTACTTTCAAATCTGAAACAGCTACCTCAACCGTTACTGAAATTCTTTAATTATCTCGTGTATTCCTTGTTTCCTTGTGACGCGGTGTATAAAAACTAGAATGATTAACCTGATATTGATATGACAGTGTCTTGATAGATTCGGCGACAATTGGCAATTTGAAGTTAAATCTCTAAACCTAATGCGTATTTTATGTTGCAGGTAGCGTCGAATGGCAACGACAACATGAGGAGAACAAGTGCGGTGTGCACTGGTTCAGAGATGTGTCATACTACACGGGCGAGCCCAGTCCGAGCGCAATTTTATTTCTGCAATTTTAGGTACTGCAATATTGGTAGACATTAAGGTGTAGCTCCGAGTTAGCGCGTCCTTAACCTTTCCAGCCTTCAAATTAAGGAAAAAGGTTTAAAAATTAATTCAATTATTCACATTCATATGTTCGCTTCAAATAATCCGCAAGTTAAAAAAATCATTGATTTTTTCGAATTCAATCTTAATGAAAAAATTTCATAGTAAATTTGCAGCTATATTAAATGGAAGTAAAACTCAAAGATATTCATGCGAATAATAATAAGAACTCCAAAAGAGATGCTGAGAAAAAATAGGGCAGTATGATTCGACAAAAAAACAAAACTGCATATTTTATTTGTTTCTGAAATTGTTTTCCCGTGCGAATACTAAGCTAACAAGAAATCTTATGGTGTTCAGAGGGCAATTTTGAATGCCATTAATCTTCCACTATAACTTCTGACTAAGAAGTTATATCTTGTTCCGTGAAGAAGTTTTTGTGGCCATCCAGTATAAATCTGAATGTCGTGAATTCTTATCTTATATTCACCGCATATTCTGAATGATAACGACCAAAAATATGCAAATTTCAAACGTTTACGAATGAAAACGCTCAATAAACCAATTATTTCAGTTCCCTATAGTTATAAACTTACCTCTAGGAGGAATCGTTCGAAATTCACAGCTTCATGCAGCAAATTTCTGCAAATTTCTACTGCCTCCTTTCTTGTAGATTTCTCTGACGTTCTTCTCAGGAGGCAACAGCATTTTTTGTCGGTGATTCCAAAAATGCTGCGACACGATGCACGGAAAAATACCAACGAGGCACCGCATCCGACAATCGAAATATCCTGTAGAAGTTTGATGCTACTGGCTTCATTTGAGTCTGTAAATACCATAACCATGTATTGAACCCATGAAGCAGAAAATGCAGCAATGAAAACATATGAGTATCTGTCAACAGCGGGAAACTTTGCATTTGTTCCACCTTCCTGTCGGAGACCATATTTGCTCAAGAAATTCATTGTTACAGCCAAGCCGCCTGAGCTTATGAACAGGAAACTGACGCTTAAAAAGGTGCAAACGTCTGCGAATTTCAGGATTTGACCTCCCACCGTGGAATCAAGTTCGTTTTGAGGCTCACACCACAAACCGAAACAAGTCGCAGCGTGAACGAAAATTCCGTACAACGTCCACGGGATGCTTGGCTTCACTTGCTTTTTATAACAGTCGAAGCGAAGCAAGCCTAAAACTTTCATCAAATATTCTATTGCCTTGAGCGAGCGCATTTTCTTCAGTTGTTCTCTTGGGGGCGCCACAGTGACACTGGATAAATGAGGTCTTTTATTGTTGACGCGCACACAGCGAAAGAGCCTCGGTTCACCTGTTGATTATTTGCATTAGTGATTGAAGTTCGCATTGTTTGATCCATGAAGATGGGATAATAAAATCGAATTTCTCAAATACAGGCTAGCCAAAGCCAACAAATATAAATTTAATTGCATCAAAGCACTGATGACATGTCATATTTCATCGCGTTCGTTGAGATGACCTGCAAAAATGTATTGCCGTTCGTTGAGATGACCTGCAATAATGTACTGCCGTTCGTTGAGATGACCTGCAATAATGTGTACCAATAATGCAAATAATTAGAAGCTGATGAGCAATCAGAGATCAAACGCTCAGGCTCCACCGCAAGCGAGGACCCGTAACTGTTTTAACGGTGAAATTACGCCGTAAATTGCAAAGCCAAACAGACTACCACTTTGAGGAAATTGGCAAATAGTATTTTGATGGCAAGATTGTGCATTATTATGGATGATAATTATTGGTTGGAGTTATTTTAACATATAAGATCGCCAATTAATAACATTATGAAAAATTTCAAAGTTATTGCAAGGAAATGCAGAATATTTTGGAAGTGATCTAAACGAAAATTTCTGTGCAGTCTCGTTTACACGACATTTAGGATTGTAATTGTATAGTTGTAAAAGTGGCGATTTGAAATTTCACACTTTGTTGATTTTGTTATAACAACTTTACAGTCGCAAAACTCAAAATAATGAACTGGTCCTAATGTGAAAATGTTCACACTTTTTACACGAACAAAGTTAGTATTATAATATAATATATATAATAGTTACACAAGCAGAGAGCAGAAGTAGATCTGATAAGCACTTTCCCTTAACTGGGTCACGATGACCCAAACATGGATGGATAGTGCATCGTTATTTCGACAAGATCTCACTCATTTCTCTGAATGTACCTTTCTGGTAGGACCTTCAGTTAACTTCATGGTTATCTTCTTGAAGCTCGAACTTTAGTTCAGATACGAGTAATATAATAACTTTGTTTCCATTGTGCTAGATTGGATTGTATATTGGTTTATAATGTCATCCAATTTATTGTGTTGAAAAATATTGTATTTTTAATAAATAATACTATTATTTTAATCAATATTATCATTAAATTATTCAAGAGCCTGATCTTGTATAGAAACCGTCATTGAGAAGAAAATATAAGCAACCCAGTGTCGTGAAATTCGCATGAGCTCAAGAAATTTCAGTATGTAATTATGCCGTGTGAATCAATCGGTATAATGATCCCAAATCAGAAAACAATTTTTACGAGAGAGTTTTTCGGTCGATAAATCTGTCCGAGTCAAACATTACATTTATACGATCCCAATCAAGTCCGTCCGCATGATATCGACGAGCTTCAAACCCTTCTTTTATAGATGAGGAGCCTTTGGTTTAAATGTCATGTCCAAAATTTGAGAGAATTTTTCCGGCAGTATAAATACATAAGATCATTTATTTTCTCATTTCCTGAGAGCATCGCTTGCAGAAATTCAAATTGGGAAAAAAATAAGGACCCGACAACATTTTCACGTTCTAGATCCAGCTTCCCACATGACAGGATTTGAAGAAAGTACAACAAATGCATTGTTTTTGCTTACTTTTCACATACTTTTTTAAGAAAACTTATAAGTTTCAAAGTGTCAACAAATAAAAACAGTTTATAAGCAGACAGAGGATGAAATTGAATCATTTTATGTTTACACATAAATCACGATATGTTTGACAAGTTTATTTTGAAATCTGTGTTACGTGATCCTATATATAAAACAGAAATGAGTTCAAATTTTCATAAATTTAATGCTTTTTCATTCATTTCATATGTGGCACTTTCAGAGCAAGAATTTAAATTTTGACCTCGCATTCACTTTTTGTTTCCGTATTGCTCATCCTGTTTCTCTTAACAAGAAAGTTTCGTGTAATTTCCCCCTTTGTCGGCGTCATCACAGAACTTTTAATAACACTCGCAGAACACACCGAACTTTTGGCAGCCTTCAGGGCCGCTAATTTGAGTTCTTTCACGGCAAAATTGTTCTCAAAAATCCTAATTAAATATTTCATATTTAAAATCTCATATCTCATAGAAAATATTTAGAAGTAAATTCTGCCGCGTCCTACCAATTCCATAGGAACAATGTAGTAATTTTTTTTCATTTCTTCCTGCAGCAAATTTATTTCGTTTTTGAAGCGAATCAGCCCTGAATGATCGAGTCCGTAAATAAAAATATTAGACTTCCTCTGTTCATTTTGTTAGTAAATCATAGTCTTCAGTTGAAAGATGCATTGAATTTCAATTGTAAAGTGAGGAGGCTTTCACAGTTTTCTTCGTCGATTAATGAGTACTAACATTAATTAGAGAGTTGAACAATTTTTGCGCATTCAGGAAAAATTTTAAAATGGTGAGAAAATCTCAGAAATTTAAAAAGTTGAATAAAAACAATGGATTTTGTTCTCAATTCACAACTTAAGCGTCGGTTTATTTATGTTCAGAACTTTACTCTTTATCAACTGATACTGAAATTTCATCGTTTGCACTCACTGTGAGCAAGCAGTTCTAACTTATTGTTTGGGCTTGAATAAGGTATATATTGAATGTTATTAAATTTTACATAAACAAGGTGAATATTAAAAATTTGTATTTAAGTGAAAAGTATACATATATTTATTGAACACGCGCGATTAATGACCAGAGAATTTAAAAATGTAAATTTACAGTGCTGAAAAATTCTTCAGATGACGTTGATTGAACAAAATGTAGGTTTAAGGATGTAATTTTAATTTATTAACGACGTTTCGAGTGTGACAAAATTCATTGTCAAATTATTAGAAGCATTGAATACTGAAATTTTGGTGGAATTAAGTACTTGATACACGTAAAAATGATACAACACGAAAATTTTTAACCGTGAACATAACTCCGATACAACCTCAAAGTTCAGAAAATGCAGCAGTTGCGAAATGGATGCTGGAGTCCAATGCGTAGAGTTGAGGGCTTCAGATATCGTCGTTCCGATGATGTCGGGAGACTGCAGGATGACGATGCTGGTGGGTTCCTCCAGCACTGCATGACGATGCTGGTGGGTTCCTCCAGCACTGCATTACGATGCTGGTGGGTTCCTCCAGCACTGCATGACGATGCTGGTGGGTTCCTCCAGCACTGCATGACGATGCTGGTGGGTTCCTCCAGCTCTGCATGACGATGCTGGTGGGTTCCTCCAGCTCTGCATGACGATGCTGGTGGGTTCCTCCAGCTCTGCTTGACGATGCTGGTGGGTTCCTCCAGCTCTGCATGATGATGCTGGTGGGTTCCTCCAGCTCTGCATGATGATGCTGGTTAGTGCCTCCAGCACAGTGGGAGAGACAGTCAGGAGTGGCAGTCTTGTTGAGTTTGACGTTGTCAAGGGTGTCATGGTGCCTGTTGAATATTATTCAACGTGGATCTTGAGATGAAGTTGCGTGATTGTAATGCATTGCGACCTGGTTTGATCTCAATAATAATTTTTTATTGATCATTTGGAGATATTTATTACTAAGCTATTTATAGAGAAGTTACTTAGAAATCGTAGCTTTAGGTATTTTTTGTAGATACCTACTTTATATCGCAGAGTTTTATTTCATCTTTGGCAGATTCAACTTTTTCTACGCACGTTTGATCTTTTCAAAGTAGATGTTCGAGAACATTTTCATGCTCTTTGAGGTCGAGAATCTTTAATAGAGGAATCTTGCATCTGCATGATGATGATTACGAAACCCAGCACGGAATGCAGCACCTGAAAATAAATACCTGATAATCAATGACTTTCTTCCGTCAATAATGATTAGATAATACTGATAGCAATGGAAATAATTTTCTACCGACGTTATTCATTTAGAAAATTTTAAGGTCTAATAAAATGAATGAGTGTCCAACGGGGCACGAACCATCAGAGTACGTACGTATAACGGGCTACGCTATTAACTCTGGAGAGAGTAAACATGAGCGTTATTTTCATATTACAGGAGAAGCTTATTTTTGAGGTGATTATAGTACACGATTAATGATAAAAATATCTTCTTCTACTTACGTTCTATTTTTATACAGTGAATAACCAAATTTATTGACATTATTATTATTATTATTTTTCTCCCACAACACTAGCAAAGAGCAGACGTAGCAATGGGCTAAACTGGGCCAGAACTGCGTAAGGATTACCTTCACAAAGACAATAAGCGTATCATTATTTGGACGAAGTCTCGCTCATTTCTGTGAGTGAAGTGTAAGTGCAAGTCAGGACTACCTACACAAAGACAATAAGTGTATCATTATTTGGACGAAGTCTCGCTCATTTCTGTGAGTGAAGTGTGAGTGCTACTGAATTGGACACTCACGGCGATGAGGGAGCCGCGCGTCAGGCTGTACGCCCGACCGATTGTCACCGGCGCCATATTTTCCAGTCGGGTTACAATGCTCGCGATCTTTGACAAATGGAAAAATTAAACATATAAAATAGGGAAAAACAAATGAAAACATAAAATTTTCCATCCTCTTTTTAAAATATCAAGTTAGAATATCCATCCAAATCACTAAAAGCTTCTATTTTAGGTTCAAAGTGAATACATCTGCATATTAGAATGATTTAACGGTGTCTAATATAACGGACGTCGCAAATAAAACTGTGCACCTTATACACAAAAGCCTAGTTCATTAGTAAAATTTTTTCGATTAGCTTTCCAACCACATAGTGTAATTTTAACTAGAAAAGAATGAGTTTTTAAATGTACCTGAGCCAGAAAACCACAACTTTTTCATGGAACTCCGCAAGTAATCTGAAAATAAAAATTGGGCACTAAATGAGTGTCTACACAATAGTGAATGCTAATGAATGCTGTATTGAAGCAGTTAGAATTAGAATAATAATTATTAAACTATTCTATTCGTTTTCAATACCTGCCTGCTGAACTGCACGTCCGTTAGGCCGATCGCCGCCACGTGCAGTTCCTCCACTACCTCCTCCATCTGCCAAAATTTACTGTGAGGTTATTTAAAAAAAATTAAAGAAATGTCAGACATTGAAATATACTATTATATAATTAAACATAACGAGATACGATCACATAAATCAATGTATAAATGTGATGTAGTTGCTTTAAAAAAATGAATGTTTGATTTGACAGTCGATATTAAAATCCCATTTTTGGTCGCACCGCAGTCTATGGAGTCGCTTTTGAGGTGAATCGGGCGTTAGTCGACCATCTGGAGTATTTCGTTGATATTTAGAAGTTTATTTCGGGAGTCCGTGACCCGATGGGCCGAATCTGCTTAATATAACTGAAAAGAGCAGCTGGTCAAGTTTTCTCGCGTTTTTTTCGTTAGATTCTGTTATTTGAGCACACCATGACCATATAAAGCTCATAGAGTTGTGTCGATGTATGTAAATGCGCAAGTTTGATACGATACTTTACGTCATAGTCATATGCTACGATACCTTACAAAATTTAGATAATGTCATGGTGTATATGACACAAATGTTTTCTCGACAAAAATATGCCTTTAGTTTTAATTTATCATATTTAGAAAACAGAGGCTGCTTAATTGAAGGCCGAGAAAAAAGTCAATCACTGTAGCTCCATTAGATAATTTCAAATCCTTGTTATAACATAAATAATTAATATTTAGACTGTTGATCAGCACAGCCAACAACCGATGAAAGTTCGGTTTTGTATTCAGGGCCCACAAGTTTTTATTAAACCTTCAGGTATGAGATGTTGGGATGGCACTGCTTAATACAGTTATGGCGGTGCCTTTCAAGATTACAGGCATTATACAATTTACCTTTGGTTATACACACCAGGTCTTCAATATTCGGATAGTTTATGTCAACGTGATACTGTAGTGCGGTTCACATTATTATTTCTTTCGTTAGTGAATTAAGATCGTTCAATGCCGGTTGTGCGTGCTGTGCATGACTCATCGCGACGTATCATGGCACCTCGCTTCTTTTTGAACACATTAATACACACTACATTCGGCTTCTTAAAAGTCATAGTGATGTTCGTTGGAAACCGGCACTGGTATGGCGGCATTCAAGAACACAGTTAAAATAGAAATTTTCAACTTGGGGTTTATCTTAGCATGAGCGCGTTATTTGAGCTGCTCGTATTCATGTGACCTAGGTTCTAATTTCTAATTCACCATAATAGCTGAATCAATTAATGGAACCGAAAGTCAAGCATTACCAATAGTCGACGTCACATAAAAGTCTTCACCATCGAGCCGCTGCCATCAAAATGTGTATGAACAAGGATGCAGAGCGTTGTTGTAAGTAACTAAACTGCTCGTTTTCCGTAAATATGTGCTTTTTTCCACTGTATCTTCAGGTTTTTTGCTGGAGTGAAATCTAAGTGTAGTTACTAATTGGGTTATTTTCGAAGAATTAAAGTATTACAGGATATATTTCTCAAGTTGCCAAAGAATATGGCAACGTTAGAGAGGCAATAAATTCCAATTGCAATTTCGGCCATGGGCCTATTTCTTCAACGCCGACACTTCTATTCTATTATATTTTATAGTATTGCTCTATTGTTCTTTACAGCCGCTGTAGGCAGAATTTTAAAGACCCGCGCATAACCGTTAGCTGAACGGAAATTACTAGTGACGTATCTTGAAATGACAGGTCATTAGCAAATTACGCTGGATGCTACGCGTGCATGCACGAGGAAGTACAACAATAAATATGCACGCGGGTCTCGCCTTGAATAGCAATACTGCCATCAATTCATTATTTTAGGTAGATCATAAATAGAAACACAGGTATGAAATTATTAGCTACTATATTTAATCGCCGCTATGTGGAAATGATTAAAGTTCAGCAATGTAGATGCACTAGGCTGTTGTTCACAAATATTTTGGGCAAACTTTGACGACTGATTTATCTGACTGCTGCGGGATAATGCTTAGCAGTACATATATGTGAATGTTTTGTGCTGGTTGATAAAAGTTAATATTTTCGCGCTAAAATGAATAACACTCGTCGTCTAAATAATGACACAATTTCATACACACCTCCCTTCCCTCCTTTATGGGTGTAACCGAAATTACATATTTTAAGGGGCATTTTTTACGCACTTTTCAGATACGGCCGTGTCTGCCCCGAACGTATCAGGTACCAAATACGCGCGCCCCGCAGTCGCCCCAAGGTTGTCAAGGAATAGACCGAATCCTAATCAGGTACTTATTTCCCTCGTACAACCAGAACCTAAAGCGGACAAAAAGTCGCTAATTTACACCGCTAGGCGAGCTTAGCTTGGGGCGCTATTGAGCCAGCGGCTGTAAGGAATCAAAATTTTGGACAGGAATCAAAATTTTATATACTTTTATATATCGACGTACATTAATACAATACGCATCTCCGGTGCTGTAGATATACAGCAACGACAAGCAGAAGATGGCCGCCCCAGCAGCGACTTCCCATTTTTGCGCCGTGAGCGCCTGGGCTGTGAAGACGGACATGAGCAGCACGCTGCCCACCACCCGCACCGTCAAGAACGTGCCGACAGTGAAGAGGAAGTCGTCCTGTTTCTTCGCTATCTGAACCAGTAGATAAATATATTGTTTTATTTAAATATTTTTTACTCGCAATTCATGTGGCTCAGATTCAGAAATAGGATATTAATTCAGGTTCCAGAATTGGAAATACTTTTGTTTCGTGCATTCTCACATGACATTACCGAGATTGCTTCTACCAATAAAATGTCTAATGTAGAATGTTAACATTATTATTAGCAAAAGAAGAGAAACTCCGAATATGAGCTTTTTTATACCAAATACAGACTCGAGAATTCGAAAAAAATGAAGTCCTTGAGAGTGGAAGTGCATCTGTGTACTCATGTTACAAAGAGAATCTGAAAATTTAGATGAATCGATGGAAATGATTCTTCTGAACACGAATGATAAATAAGTACACAGTCCGAACAAAATAAAGTTAAATTTCATAGCTACGATTTAGTAGCTTTACTTAATCTCACCTTAATAATATATTTTTCTAACTTCTGGGCTTCAATAATGAGTGATTTCTCGGGAAGCCTGTAGTTTTCAACGCCGAGTCGTTCCCTCGTAATATTCGTACATAGAGCGTGGCAGCGACCACGCAGGACACGCACGACGTTCAGGCAGTTCACACGAAACATTGCCAGCGCCGCGATACCGCCGGCCGTCGATAAGCCTTCCAATACATTTGCGAGGTAGTTAAGGAAAGGGTTCGAGTATAAACTACCTCTAATAGACCAGTGGAAGCAATGTCCTGATAAGACTGTCACTACAAAGGCCAATGAAACGCCGTCTATAAATAGGAGAGTAAAGAATTTGGTTCTCTTGACAGTGTCACTTCTCAGGCTGTTATTGTTTTCGAAAAATATAAGTATTTTTGCCAAGCCCTTGCTTTTCAAAGCTACTGATAACAGACCAATTATATCAATTATTGCCACTAAAGTTGTACTTATATCGAAAATTGAACTTACAGGAGGACCACTGATTTGAGAACTGAATATCTGAAGAATCATTGTCGAAGTGTGAAAAATTAGCGCGTATAGCCACCAAAGTGCGTTCGAATGCGCACTGAGTTCAGAAACATCGAATCGAAGTAAGCCAAGTATCTTCAATAGATAATGTCTCAAGGTTAAGGAATTCATCTTGACAAAACGATAAACTTTGAGACAAGATTATAATACAGAATTTGATCATCTCCCAGTAAAACACAGGGCAACACTGAAACTTGAAACTTGTTGATTTGGCTTCAAAGAGAGCTCATCGATTCTAGTATTTGAGGATCTACATTTAATAACAGAACAAATTGCCATTAAACTAGATGGAAAACATGATGTGGACTCAACTTGATTGTAAAAGCTCGCGAATAGACTGAATATTTGCTTTTCCATTGTCTAATGTTGAAGGATTTGAGGCCGCCACAAAGAACCCAATCAGGATAAAAGCTGCACAAAGAAACAATGGTATCAACTACATTGACGCTATATGAAATAATCATCAGAAACTGCACTGCGTCAGTCACGTATGCTCGCCTGAAACTATGTGCAAGAAAGGGACTGGTCGACTCGCGCTTAAAAACTAATGATTAGGCGAAGAAAATTATATGAAACAGAATATAAAGCCGTTGAAATAGCTTGGGACTTAAACCTGATTGCAATTATAAATCAAAATTATTGAATCGACTTTTGTTCTTAGATAGATTAAAAAACTTCTACATTGTGACGACAGCATCATTCTTTATCACTAAGTAGAGTATTCACGCTTATCAAAAAATTATCGAATTCACTGTTTCTTTTTCCTCTGGCAATTGATAAGATAAATCATTTTTGGGAACTGTCAAATTAGCCAATTTTGATACATTCATCATTTCCATGAATACTTCAAATAATTCGGCGTCGATTTTTTTCGGAACAAAAGAGAATTCAAACGGTCCATTAATTTTATATACAAATTATTTTCCGGATACCTTGACAACAAAGAGCAATGAATTGAGAATTCATGCATATATCTAAGTAAGTATAAATATCTTGGAGCTGCAGCGACTGATTGCGACGGAACATTAAGGGCAGAACAGTCCTTAGTTAAGGCATCGAATGCAGCGATTGATTGCGGCGTAACATTAAAGACTGTGCATTAGTGTATTCTGATCACAATACTTAAATTCCTAAAGCGTTTAGAAGTTATCGCAGCGTTTTCAAATTCAAAATGAATGCATTTTGTATGAATACGTATATGCCAGGCAACGCATATTTTAATGTGATAAATGGGAAGAAATTCTTCAGAAAAATATATTACTGATTTTCCTCATGAAATCAATCTAGAGTTGAGTTTAGCATAAAAGATTACAGAAATTAAATAAGATTCTCGCGGAGAAGATATCTCGTATTAATGGAGTGTGATTTCAAAAATGCTGTCCTGTAGATAAGCATTATAAATGCAGCTTTCGGCGTTCATCCTAAATTCTATCT